TATGGTCAGTTTGTACAAATATCCAGCATCAATCATCAAAACCTAACCCCACAAGAAGTTAAATACCTAAAAGTGTGTTCCAAAATTTCTCCTAAAAAATTGGAACAAAGGGAGGATTTGTAGTGCGCAGGTTTGTTATTACCCTAAAATAAAATAGTTTTCTGATAAGCATACTGTTAGGTTTACAATAATTTAGATTATTAGAAAGTATTAGCTTTACAGCTAAATACAAGGCATGACCTGTGGCCTAGCAATGCAGCTGACCACAAGGCAGATTAATAGCTAAGCCTTTGCTTGTGTCAAGTAATCATTTTAACTGTATTAAGCATTTTCTGAGTTAAAAGCAGCAAGTATCTCTGTGTCTGTGTGCTGAAAAATCAGCTACAGCAAGAAGTAAGATAAGACAGAAAAACCATTGTTCTGGGTGCACTGGTTGTGTCCTTAAAAAGTATCTACTACTGTGTAAGGTTTTGCTAACATATTATAATGTTACTGTTACTTAACTTTTAGCTTTTAAAAAAGTGCTAGTTCAGCTTAATAAAAATATGCTGTTACAAAGATTTAAAAAGCACCGCCCAAGTATTGCTTTTTTTTGTTAACCATGAAGTCTTGCCTTGTTATAATAAGTATAAAAGATCACCTCACCCTTAGGGGGGGGGGCATTTTGCCTTTTGCTGGCTTTATGGTCTTTGCTCGAGCAAATAAACAGCTGTCTTTCTTTACCCGCGTTGTCTGTCAATCAAATTACAGCTAGACAACGAACCTTAGGGAGGTTTCTCCCACCACAGCTACAACCTACATCTCACTAATTAAGGGATTTTTAGTCAGATTATAACTTTTTTTTGGTTAACAGTTTTTTTAATTTGCACATTGCAGGGTAGGGGGGAGTTTTTTAAATCTTCAATTCTTTTGTCCTTTTGTAGTCAAACTGAGAGCTAACTCTCCTACTTTTTTGGTTCTCTATGGAGTCTTTTAGCAAAAATAGGAAAGACTAACATTTCTGGTCAAGGGGTTTATATTTAAGGCTTAAAATCAAGCATTTGTTATATATGTATTTCATAAACCTTTGCACATTTGTGCAGTTTTCCCTTGCTGGTCACTTTTAACATAGTTGTGAGAGATTTCATATGCTATACTTCTGTTCCTCTGAGATCTCGTTTGTTATTCAGGTAGATCTGTGATAAGAAACAGACAAATCTAAGCACCAGAAAATCAGCTGATCTACATGGTGTTTTGATTTGTGTACGGTTCTGGGAAGCAGTATAACTGCGTGCGTGTGCCGGGGGGAAGGAGAGACAGTGGAGTTGGAGTGTACTTGTGGGAGAGTGTTAAGTGAGCTGTTGCCCTGAGCAATGATGAACCTTGTTTTTTTTGCCTGATTTCAGATAACGAAGGCTTCTACAGTTAAAATGAGCTCAAAATAAAGTGTGTGGTTCTTGTATTCAAAATAAGTGTCAACTAGCCAGACTAGCTTCATACATTCTTTAACCCTAGGTAACATTCTAGAGCGCTGCCCAGCAGTTTAAGTTCACAGGCTTGTCTACAAGAGGCAACATGCAATTTGCCTTCAACAGCAATTTCCACTGGATGCTTTTTAACTGGTGAAAAGTTGGACATAAACCCGGCTAACTCTGGTAAAAAAAAAAAATTTTAAACAGAGCTTGCATAATCTTTCAAATATTATTCAGGAAGAAAATTTAGCACTTTGACAGTTATGAACTCTTTAGAGTAATTTTTTTTTTTGTGTGAAACAACTTCTGTTAATGCTTTTTTGCAAAATAGAGCATAAAGTGAAATGGAGTGATTCTTGATTATAGTTTTATTCAAATCAATTAAACTAAAACTAGTAACATCTTATCCGTTATTATGATTAACTTTGGTAATGCTACTCTTGAAGTTGATTACATTGCAGTTGCAGCTACTGTAATTACAATCCTTCACTTTTTCAGGCTGGCAAAATTGAAAAAAAAATTATAAAATTTAATTTATGGCTAATCAGTGCAAATTGAATTACAGTAGAGATCGCTTCTTGTGCATCTTAGAAATACCCTGAAGTTTTGCCTAATGGTGAATGTAAACTGCAAATGTTTCTTTCCCCAGCACTCGCTTCATAGCAAATCTTAGAACTTATTTTCACCCGGACTTGTTTTTTTCCTTTTCGGTCACATATTTGTATTTTTCTGGGAAATTCACGTTTAGGGCAGAAACCTCCACATTCTTTCTATTCATTTATGGTCTAGATTGAATGTGAAAATCTTTTTTTTATTAAATAACTGATTCCGAGACACAGCATTTTAATTCTGATCTGTTGTGCTCATTAGTAATCTCTCTTTACTAATTATTCATTACACTATGAAGCACCACACGTTTGCCTGATGTTTTACAAATATAAGAAGGTGGTACCCCCGGCTCAGGTGTTTGCAATCTAACATTGCAAAGAAAGCCCCTCATATTAAAATTGAGCTGCCCCCTGACACCTCTGCAGCCCTGCTGCTCCTTCCCTGCAGCCTTGTGCTCCCATCGCACACAGTCTCCCCCTGCACTGTTGTCCCGCTCCCTCCCTCATGTACCTTGAAGGACCCTGCTCTGGTGCCAGCAGGCCCTGTCCTTGGAGCATAGAGCTCCCCACTGCTGCTACAGGGCTGGGTTGGAGCTGTGCTCAGTGCTTCAGGTGGGAGGGGGAGCAGGCAGCAGTGAACAAACTGCATGCCACCCCCACTGCCTCCACACTGGAGGGATGGATAGGCTGATGGGGGGATAGCTCAGGAGTTTGGCTCTTTCCCAAGAGGCCTCAGAATTCAGGGAGGGGAGGACAGAGGGGTACTCAGGGTTCCCTCCCAGCCTGACTGCAGTACTGCAGTGAAATGACACTTAATTGGCTCTGGGGAGCACTGCCCAAGTGCAAAGACCAGGTAAAAAGAAACCCCTGATAGAAAGTGCTGCCATCTCTCAGCCTTACTTAAAGCCAGTCAAAGCTGGCACATCCCAGTGACTCCCCTCTGGGCTCACACACTCCTGACACAAGAGTAGTATGCTCTGAACTGAAGAAGTGGCCCTGCAGCTGCCACACAGCCTCTGAGCCCAGACAGCGGCAGTAACATGGAGGGAAGGCCCCATTCAGGTCCCTGCTCCCCTGGCTGTGGCCCAGCTCATGCTCCCTGTGACATCCTCAGGAGCATTGCTCTTGCACCTCTGCCACATCAGAAGATATGTTACAAGACCCAACCAACATCTTCATCTTAGTTAAATCATTTTAATCAGTGGCTGACATAAGTGGCTAACCAGATAATAAGAATAAGAGCCACCCAGGATCACTTACAGCACATATCATGGTTGGTATGGCACAGGACAGGGCTTGTTCTGTTGCTGTATCAATCTGAACAACACAGTCCTTGGTTGCAGCACTGTTCTATCACAACGTGGGTCTTGTGTGGAGCTCTTTTTCTTTCATGCCTGCTCTGGAGCTGTCTCATTGATTCACCTTCTGCATTTCTATAGCCAGAAGCAATCATCTAGTGGTACTTAACTAAGGCCACTGGTATGTATTATATAAATTGGCAATTAACTGGTCAATTGTGCAATCAATTTATACCAGCCACACATACCAGGTAAGACCAGCCCCAAATGCAAAGTAATTTTCACACAATTAACTGGTTAACCACCAATCAATTTAGATGAGCTACATGATAAACAAGACTAAGTGTCTATAAAAAGAACCAATCAACTATAAAGTAAGTGCTTGAAAATGTGTAACAACTCTACAGTTGGTTTCTATCCAGCTTTAATTTGAACATGTAGTAGGGCCCCGAAGCAATCAAAATGGAACAAATCAAATCATTAATACAAAATAATTTGGCTCTTGATGTTTGAACATGTGATAGAAATAGTTATATCTAAAATCAGATTGTTTAGATGTTGAAAATATCCCTTCTTTAAAAAGGCCAATAATAGTTGATATGAAACTAACAGCAATAAAATGACAAATATGTTTGTGTGCTTGATTAAAGGTATTACTAAATCCAGCATTTCATTTTAAAAAATTGCTATCCCACAACTACAAGGCAAGATGTGCACTGATTTAGTCTCTTCCAACCAGATGAGTCTCTTTGGGTCTGTCAATACGAAAGAGAAGTTCTGCAGGCAAAAAATATCCCAAATACTCTACACTATCTGGTGTGGTATCATTATGATAGTGTCCTCCTTCACCATGATGACTGAAACCATGGGTGTGTTCCAGTCGCAGATCAAACCCCTAGAACAAAGAAAACCTCGTGAATACATTTTCTTCTGAAGTTGTTCTAAATACTTCAATATTTTTTAGGGTGTACTGCAAGTTTCTTCCAAAGATGCTAAAGTGCTTTGCAACATTATTTACGATTTGCAATATGCCAATGACCTAGCTTAGCATGATCCTGACGACAGATTTTCTGTACCTCAGTTTATCAGAGTGGCTTGTCTCAGACCATCACGTTAGAAGATCAAAGGAAGGAACTGAATTGAAAATTCCTTACTCCCAGTCATCTGTTCTAATCACCACAACACTCAGTTATTTCGTGACATGAACCTGTTCTAAGTCAAGTTCAAATATTCAATGTTTGTACTGCAGTAGAACCTAGAAGCCCTTTAGTAGCAATCAGGGCCCCTTTGTGCTGATCGCTGTACAACCACACAAAAAAAAGTTCCGGATTCAGTTTTAACAGATGAGCAGTGGGTACAGCTTGGGAGGGAACACAAAGTAACAATAAGATAATGAATATGTTAGGAGACAAGAGGTGCACATGTACCTTGAAGGACCCAGCATGGCTCATTTCAGAGCTGAGTTCTGTAGTCTGTGTTAATAATGGTGTACACTGCTAGAATTAAGAAATCTAACTCGCTAAAAGGGAGTCCAAATGCAGATGTTGGCAGAAACAAGATGTTGGCAGGAATGAGAGACACACTAATATAATGTAGGAAAACAGATGGGTGTACAAGAGCAAGGAGATTGTATCTGGTAAGTCTAGGAGACTCATCAAGAATGGACAAAGAAAGTAAGGTTTGTATATTGGGATGATAAAATAAGTATGTATGGAAGTTTGGGCTATATCTGATCAGTTTCTAACACTCAGATGATAATGTACAGTAATGAACGATTTTGGTAGGATGAAAAGAAGCAGAAGAGATGGATCCTTCGCTAGTGTGGGCTGATCTACTGGAGCCAGACAGCATTGGACAGCTAGGATCTTCCTCGCTAGCCCAATTTAAGTATTCTGGTCAAGTACGTGTAACGAATTATGGTGTAGATTCAGTCATTAATAAGTATTGTAACGTTCCTATCTAATCTAAAGTTGGTATGTTGCAATAGCATTTTAGAGCATTCATTTAAAATAACTGGAAGAGCACACACCAACTGCTGAAACTTCCTTAGCCTGATGAAGGGTTTTTGAACCCGAAAGCTTGCTTAATAACTATTTTCCAACTACTTGGGTTGGTCTAATAAAAGATATCAGATTCACCCAAGGAACCTTGTCTGGATTTAATAAAGGCATTTTAGCTGAATTAGTGATGTGGTCAATCAAATTCTAACACACATGGGTAAACTTGCCATAAGGATTGTCAGCAATGAGGTAGGATGAGAATGGTTTGTAGTTTTAGTGGCACTACAGTGTTAGACAGAATCTGGTGAATAATACTTAAAGGACTGAAAGAGAGGGGTTATTTTTGGAGAGCAAGCATTGTGAAAGCAGGTTTAGGTATTTCCTTTTCAGTACAGCTCACCTAAATGTGAATTTGCCTCATCAAAAAGACGGTGCAGTCTGAAAAGGCAGAATGGCAGTATATGTATTGAGTATTGGGTTCAAGCTGTGTTAGTGTGTACTTTAATCCTTTGAAAAAAGGGAAATGCGGGATTAAGTGTTATGCCCTTTCTCTTCAGTGGAACACCACAATGCAATATTAATTTTGTATTAATATTTTTTTTGTCAGTGAGTTTTCTAAGTTTCTGGAAAGAGAAATACTTTGTATGAGTTAATGGCAAGGAAGGCATTGTCAAATACAGTTGCAATTAATATGCATGGTACAGGGGCAAGGTAATAAGTAGCTTTATATATAATGCTTTTCACAATAGGGCTCAAAGTACTTTAGAAAGGAGCTAAACATTATCTTCATTTTAGAAATGGAGAAACTGAGGCAGAGATCTGTGAAATGACTTGCCCACAATCAACCAGCAGGTCAGTAGCAGAACCAGGAACAGAACCCTGATTACTCAAGTTCCGGTATTTGCTTCATGGAGGTTACTGTGTGATCCCTAAATGTTTCTCTTCACACCTGTCTGCTTTATTATAATGAACGGGGATGTGTTTGGTTTGAGAACTGTCGATCCTTTCGGATCATGGTGTATGTGCGAGAGGTCACCCAGACCTTTGACACGCATGCCTAGGCAGGAGTTTGGAGGCTGCCCAGACCTTCCATTATCCCTTTGGGCCACAGAGACAGAATCCAAAGGCTAGACTGAGTCCAGACATTTGGTGCCTCTATGGCTGTAGTTGTATAAGCATCTGGGAACTGAACCCGTCTCCCTTGTGACAGACAAGGATTCTACCACTGAACCACAGGGGACTCTTATGAGGATGAGATTGTATTCTGAAATGCTTGGAGTGGGCGGTTACAGACTGAACTGACGAGAGAAATCAGACAAGTCTACACTCCAAAGTCTTGGCAGTGTTAGTTAATGTAATAACAGTAACTTAAAGAACAAGAGAACTGGTGCATATCTCTTTCTCTATGAATGATCCCTATGGTTTACTCTTGGATTTCTGGCACTGGTAGGTTTCAAATTTATGGTGCCCAAATGTAGGTAAGCATAGGTAGACAATACCAGTTTGGTCCTGGGAAGGTTGAAAACTCATCTTTGCCTATGCTAATTCAGAGACTCTAACTTATTCTTCAATAATGATTTCAATATGTTTTCCCAAGGGTTAGTGGGGGCCTTGCCCTAGCGGGGATAATGTCAAATAAATAAGATTAGCTATAGGAATGATTAGCATCATGGTGCATATCTCAAAAAGTGGTGTTAGAAGCCAGGACCTTTAGGAAGTACTCCAGGGAGTTGCATCTTGGGAACCTCTTGCACAGTGAGATGTGGATTGCTACCCACATCTCATGCCTTCCTGAGGCAGATCAAAAAACTCATGACAGAATCACTGTAAAACACACTACACAGTTACTCATGAGAGAGACTTACTGGATCTCTGGAAACTATCACAGGCTGACAAACCAACGGTGCCTTCACTTCAAAAAACTTGAGCCAATTATTTACCTCCTCATCAGTGTTCAAAGGACAAGCAGAAAATTCTGGGGGCTGTAACAAGAACATTGTTAGTGAAATATGATATGCTTTCTCCTAAGCTACTTTACTTTGTCAGCCTCATTTACTCTTATCCAGTACAATGCAAGCAGTAGTCTTAATGGTTTTTTCGTTCAGAACCGTAAGTCCACACAGCTTCTTCCATTGTCACTGCCAAAATACCCAGTGGGAGAACTCTGGGAATCAAAGCACTGGTATGTTCAGCTTCTAGCATATTGGGCTAACTGCTAACACAACACGTAAGGTTCTCTCTGCTTTAATATCAGAGGCACATGGTCCTATACAGCCACATTTGAACACAGGTGAAACACATGGGATTCTGTTTTTGAGTGATGTGAACATCTAGATGTCAACATCAGCTAAACTGTGATTCTTACAGTAACCACAAACAACCTACAGCAGTGTGTTAAAAGCCTCATCCAGTTTGGTCATGGATATTGTATTAAATCTCTTGGCAGTAAGAAGTAACGTAAACAATGTTCTCAATGTGGACAGAGCCCAGGGCCTACAAATGGATGACTGACTCAGAACTGTCAGGGATGATTCTTTCTCCAAAGGGAGGCACCACAGTTGTTATGCATAAAAATGCATAAGCAGTCTCCAAAGCCGGGTCCAAGTGTCAGGACTGTCCTGAGGAACTGCCTTCATCCGTGGGCTACAGAGTCAGGCCCCCTCCTCTTGCTTATTCTCTTTGGCCCCATGTGTCTTGCCTTTCTTTTTATTCAGTGACTGAGTCATCTGCAATGGAGTGGTGGAGTTTCCAGTGTTCCAGCCTTGCCTCTAGCTTTGTAGTTGAGGTCCTTCTCTGAGGATGGAGCTGTGGCTCTGAATTCCTTTGGCATGAGAAACCTATAACTGAGGCAACCATCTTCCTGGATAAGTGCTCTTAGGATGCTATGCAAAAGGTTAGCACCCCTTTTACTTCCTTCAGCCTTGTATTAAAAAAACCCAAAGTATAAGCCCATATCCAAAGGGACCATGTAGATGCCAACTCCATGAAGCAGTTTTAAATTCTGAATCCTATGAATCTCAAATCTCAGACACACCAAAGTTTGGGGGAAACAGACAAATACTCAGATTCAGTCACATCTTCCATGTTTACTATTAACTGGTTTAGACCTGCACTTGCTCAGCATGCTGCCATAAAGTTAGGCCTATGAATTCTGCTCTTAGAACCAAGTAGCTAAAAGTTAGGTTTGGCAATGTTGAGGGTCGCTACATGTAAGTGCCTTTGTAGCTCTTGTCCTAAGTTTTGTCACCTGAATTATACTGTGGCTCTTAAGAAAAGAGCTACTTACCATGATATGCATCTTTGCTTTTCCCTTTTGAATAACAAATGTACCTCCCATTCCAACTGGCTTATCGCCATAATGTTCCTCTAAAATTTGCCTCAGACAGGTGATAAAATTATGTTGCCCAGTTCTTCCATTAGCTTTCACTTCAATGACCTAGAGAACAGATACGCAATAATCATTACTATTACTTGCATCAAATTCTGTCTTCTGTATTTCAAAGCTGCTGTGAAACCTTCTCAAAGTTGTGTCCCATTATCTCTTTCTCAAAGAATAAATTCTCACTCCAGTGAGGCTTTCTTTGTATCATTTATCTTTGTGATATAATAGTTGTGCGTGTGTGTAAGAGACTCCTATTTTTTTGTGAGGGAAGCCCTTTATTTATACACACAAGAGGCACTGCACAGGAAGCAAAGGACATCAACCCCATCACAAGGGAACTCTGCCTAGAGTTGAAGAAGTTATTAATTTTCAATGTGCCACTCAGTGACTGGCTTTTCAGCTAATACTAATCACGTGATAGTTGTATTTAGGGGGACATTCATCTACAAGGAACTAAGACACACTCAGTTTACTCTGTTAATCATTCATCAGCTGGCAATAACTTTCAGAAGGCAATACTTTTCAGTCACTGCCAACTCAGGAGATTTAAGAGTTATAGGTTACAAATCCTAGTGTCAATTCCTTTGGGAATCCAGTCCCCAACATCAACTTCATTTTTTTGTATCGGACATTATTTCTTGTATGCAATATTTGCCTTAAAAATGATCAACACTCTCAGGAAGGAAAGGCAGGATGGAAGCAGACAAATGAATTCTAGTCAAAGTCTATTGTTTAAGTTACTTTTTATCTAAATGTGCACCTTGCCTGGTTGGCCCTGGCTGGCAAACAGGTTGGCCAACAATCCAAAATTGCTGTATCTGTACTTCTCCAGCAAGCATCCTCCATCTGTAGGATTAATTCGAGCAGTGTAACTTGTATTTACTGCATGCTTTTGTTCAGTCTCAGTATGAGCAATAGGGATAAACTGAAAAGAAAGGTGCATAAAATAGTTGGATTTTATACAGTTCACTTACTGCTAGAAAGTTAACAGCAATCCTCTTGAATACAACAGAAGCTACACCTCTCTGAATTGGACTAAAACTGGCTTGCAAAGTGTGCACATTTTGGAGGGGGAAAATCCAGTGAATATGTCTATTTCCTTGGCTGAATGTCATGGTAACACGGACACCAACATTAAAAAATGTACTCTCCTTTAGCAACCTAGATCAAAAACTCCACATAAATAAGTCAAAAAGGAACTGTTTCTCAGTGAGGCAACATCTATTAACTAATCACAGCAAAAGGCCCAACTTAATGCAATTTATAGTATTTACTAACAGGAGGTAAATCCTTCCATTCCAATTTGTACATAAGGCTTTTAAGATGTCAGTTTCCAATTGCTTCAGGTTTCTTTTGTTTGTGATTGTATTTCAGGCATCTAAACATTTGTTTAGTTATACAATCTCCTTGTAATTATGCTATTTTCCATAGTATACTGGAGTTGTCTTAACTTCCCATTCCTACCTGACATTGTAAGACACTCTTCAAACAGTAGTATTGTGTATATATCACTACCAAAAAATCTACATCATCATTCAAGATTAGGATTGACACTGGCATTTTAAAGCCATTTACCATTCAGTACTTTGGCAGCTGTTTTTCAGCTCACACTTCTGTCACTTACTACGTAATTGGAGATTTCTGGTATAGTGATAATTAGACAGTGCATCCTGTTAGCTCCATTTCTGTTCCCCCTTGGATTCAAGTCAAAACATGATTTGTTATTGAAATTACAATCACTTCATGGCATAGGTCTTATTTTAATTCACTTATCCATGCTAATGACATTAATTACAGATGTTAAAAAAAGATAACTGTAAAAAGGAAATAGCAAGCTACATACATGTTGTGGCCTATAGCAGTTCTTTTCTACAACCCTCCATGGCTCCTGTCACAGGCAGCTTTTATAAAAACAGCTACATACATGCACATTAGGGGCATGTGTTTCCAGGAAGTCACTGATTGAGAAGTACTAAATACTTCTACAATACAACCCAATGTTACTGACCTCGGCATTTACTCCAAGAATTCTAGATGAAGCAGCTCCAGCTCCAAGAATGAAAGCTCCAGGCAGCTCTATTTCTTTTGCAACAGTATTCAGATCATACACCTGCACAACAGGGATACATTCATTTTGCTTGGGCTTCACATCCTGCCTTGTATTTCTCATTCCAGCTAAATTCCACTGCTACTTCTTGATGCACCCCATCAAAACATCATTATTACCTGTCTGAATTAGGCTTAATAAAATCCCTAGAGCAGAACAGTGCCAATATCTGGTTGAGTTTAGATCTATATTCACACTTTATGGCCTCAGCAGGTCTCCACCTTGTTTGCTAGATTGCAGGGTTTTATTGTATAAACCAGGCACCATTCTACCTGCAGACCACGTTAAATAAGTCAGTTTCACTGAGATCAAAAAGAAAAATAACCTTAAATGATGTCACATAGATCAGATTCTGGCAGGTACCTAGAACCAGGCATTGTGCTCTATCCAAAGTGAGTGCTAATGTGAACCCTACTTCAGCTTGCACTGGTCCCACAGGCAGTCTTTTCTTATGAAGAACAGAATTTAGATGGGGACTGTGGCTAGAGGCTACTGACAAGCAGCATGCAATAAATAAATATACAGATTATGTCTTGGCCTATAGCAATTCCTTCCTACAACCCTCCATGGCTCCTGTCACAGACAGCTTTTATAAAAACAGCTACATCATATTTGCAGACAGCAGAAGAGGAACAACTAACTTATGCATGCTGCTTCTGATGTGGGGCATGGTTTTTTTTGACATGTTCTGTGCTTAGCACAAGCCAAATCTTAGCTTGGGATGCCTTTGGAATATTTTTACATGTGGAACCCTAGAGTATCTATTCATCAGTGTTCTCTAGGAATTTAAAAAATGCTACTACATGTGACATCTTGGCAATGCATTAAAAACCATGCCTGTAGAAGACTCACTTTATCTTTTTGTACAAGAGGCAAAAGGTAAGGGACACCTCCAACATCTGCTATCCTAGGCTTCCCACAGATTCCTGGAATAAGAACAAAGCCAGTTAGCTTTTTAAGAATATTTCTGTAAAGATCTCTCTCTATATACTTGAAGTATAATATGCTAATTAACCAGGTCCTGAGAAGCCTCCTTTCAGTTTCCAGAAAGTCTTTTAAAGCACTGGTTTCTCTTCACATGCAGAAGAAATAAGGGTTGCGTTACTGTCCTTTCCAGAAATGTACAAATCTACATGAAATAAACCTGAATTTCAGCAGAAAGTAGACATGGGATATGCATTTAAGGCTAGCCAGCCTGTTTCCAAAGCAGTGTTCTACAAGAATTAGCTCTACTTGGGGTTGTTGCCCAAAAATAGTGTAATAGGTAATAACCACAGAATACTAGTTCTCCAGTGAGGCAGGGGGTACACAGAGTGACAGGACATAGCTACCTTTATTGGACATACCTTCCCTATCTTGTGTATGTACACAGGTAGGTTTTTACGTAAGTATGAGATAAACTTTTAAAAATGAGATTGAGCAATAACATAGTACTTGGCCTGGATACAGGCCTTCCATCTGAGAATCTCAAAGCACATCACAACACAAATTAGTTAAATCAGTGAGATAAATGGCATTAGAATAATTTTAACAATGAAAGAATGACAGTGAGTATGTGAATATCAGCAGCAGAGGCAAGAACAAAAACCAGGTCTTACAGCTCCTGTGCAGGTTAGTTATTTGCAGGACAGCGTTTCCACCATCTTCAAAAGTCCAGAAACATAATGAATCAGCTCTAAAGACCTGGCAATCCCAGCCTCAGATGGAAATGTGAAGTTACCTTTAACAGGAAAGGTGAATGGTTCTTGAGTCAAATCAGGGCAGTCCACTACAGAGACCTGAGTATCAGCAAAGTTTTCTTTAAGCCCTTTCTGCAGAACTAGAATAAAGAATGAAAAAAAATGTTATTGACACTATAAAAATATGCCTTTAAACACTAAAAAAGATGCCTATAAAAACATGCCTTTAAGCCCTGATTCAGCTAGGTACTTAAGAATGTACACAATTCCATTGATTGAAATGCTCAAAGTTAAGCACATGAGGCACATGAAGTTTATTGCCTCTGAGTCAGGTCTTCAAGGAAAAGCAAATCCTTCTTGGTGATACTATATCACACCAGAAACTTCCATTTTCTCCTTTAAAAAAAAATAAGCATGCCAAGATGTTCAGAAGTAGAACCCTAAACTTAAGGTCCAAAACCCATTTTTAGACACCAGTCTAATTTTCAGAAATCCTTTGCACTCAATGATTTTCTTCAGTCAATTATTTTTTCCAGCCATAGTTAGACAGAGTAGAAGACCTCTGTTGTAGGGGCTGGATTGTGGTGAGGGACAGGAAGGGGGAAAAGGAGAAAAGAAGTTTTGTATTTGTATGTATAAAGCATATCTGGGCAGCCTGGGCTTCAGACGAGGGCATGTTCTATCAAAAAAGATATAGAATAAGCTGAATCCTGCAGTTTGGATCTCAACTTGAACACCAAGAGGGGAACCATCTGCAGCTAACAGCATACAGGACTGATATCTCACATTAGTGTTGTCCAATGCTTGTTGTAAATCCTGGCCCCTAGCTTGACAGGGTGGGCATGAGTTTTAGAAATGCAACAGATCCTGAGTCTAAAAGTTCAATTTCAGTGGGGCTAAGATTCATTTGTATTCCCCTGTTACAAACCTGCAAAATACATCAATTGGCATAAAATAAAATTTCCCTGCTGTAAGAGCACTGTTTCCCCTGAATTTTTCCTACTGTCTGCAGTTTTGCCTTGCTGGTAGCAAAAGGCATTGCTGTATACACCACAGGGATAAAAACACATTTTAAAATGTTAGTTTGTTTGTCATTCCTTATTATAACACTTTCCAGAATATTACAGATTACTTTACTTACCCCCAGCAAGTTCTTCTAGACTTGGGACGTGGAAAGCAAACTTTTCAACTTTGGCCATTTCTTAGCTCATAGGGTCAATCGACCTCTTCAAGAAAGAATTACAAATCAGAGTACACCAAGGACTCACAGCTGTTAATAAGCATTTTGGTTTAGTGATTAAAGTCAGTCTGCACCCTTTATGCTAATCTTTTATATGTAACTGACTGTTGCCAGCCTCATTCAAGAATATAGAAGCTGCTGTTGCCTTGAAAGAGATTCAGAGCACATATTTATGCTGTTAATTTTCCTGCATGTTTTGGAATGAGGGTGTGCTTGAAACATTGCTTGAGAGCTCTAGATAGCCCCTAGAACAGAGCTTTCCAAACTGTGTGCCGCGACACATTAGTGTGTCGGCGGCAGTGTGTAGGTGTGTTGCGCGAAATGCAGAAAATTTTGCGGAAGGGCACCGCGGAGCTCCCTTACTCGCGTCTGCTTCCCTTGGCCCCTCCCCCGGAACTGAATTACAGTGTCGCGAAATGATGCATGTCTAAAAAGTGTGTCACCAACATGAAAAGTTTGGAAAGCTCTGCCCTAGAAACTTAGGCCTGAAGCTGACTCTGGGCAGTCATACCTGATTTCATTGGGGCTCCAGCCAAACACGCAGGGCTGCTAATGTGGAGCCAAAAGAAAGACTGGGGTTCGGATATAACAGAATTCTTTTAAATGATTTTGGAGAATGGCTGTGGCCTCTTCTCGCCCATCCAAAAATAAATATATATAAATAAGTAATGCTCTGGACCAAGTCAAGTCATTGCAAACTGCCCCATTTGAATCCTGGGCAGATAGGATTCTATGGCTTTCCCCTACCAGAAAACAAGAGAGCAGGGGTAGCAGTGTTTCTCTAGGTGAAGAACAGAAGCAAGGAGCTCCAGTCTCTCTTCTGTAATAAGCTAGTACATAGCAATGTTGTTTTGATAGGAATGAGCATAAGCAAAGGATTTCATAAAATTTATTGTTCACAGTCCTGGGGTTCAAGGTAAGTGTAGTTTAGTCCATCTTACAACAGCACGCAGGTCAGCTGGCTGGGGCAAATCACCAAGTCAAAGTAGAAAAACCTGGTCAGACAGCTTATGAGTTAACCACATCAATCATTAACTCCTTAGTTACACATCTGTCTCCGTCTCCTCCATGCACAAAGCAAAGAAGCTGCAGATATCTTATAGCACAGGAGTGGGAAAAATACAGCCTGCAGGCCAGATCCAATCCACCAAGGGATTTTATCAGGCCTGTGGTGGGTCCCTCAGCCCTGCCAGGCCATTGTGGGGGACAGCCCAGGCTGTAGTGCATGTGGTCAATCCTGCTGCCCCCAGGCACGCAGTGGGGCTGGCCCCACTGCCTGGGCACCTTGGCCTGTCTGCCCCTCACCCACCACCAGGGGCACTGGATGGAGTGGGCAGGGTCTTTATGGAGAACAGCCCAGGACCCCTGTGGGCTGGGTGTGTTTGGATGGCATGGGGCTGTGAGCAGGTGGGGAGCGGTGTCCAGATGGGACAGGCAGGTGGAGCTGGGCCTGGGATCACGGGCCGATGACATCACAGGACCTTGAAGGAAGTAACTTGTGGCTCTGCCCCAGGCCCTGGCCCCACACTATCACTGCCCTGCAATCCTGGCCCTGGCCCCAGCTGCCACTGCCAGACACTGCTCCCTATCCATCCGCAGCCCCATCCCATCCGCATGGCTGAGCGTGCTCTGTCTATGGGGGTCCTAGGCCAGCCTCCATGGAGATTCTGCTTGTCTGTTCTGTCCAATGCCCTCAGACTGGTCTATAATCTACTAGTAAGGGAGTTTTAGTGAGTTGCTGCAGGCCGCAAGGAGGGCAGGAGGGGTGCTGACCCAACCCGCAACAGCTCACCAGAACTCCAGGAGGCTGTGGGTAGGGAGTAAAGGGCACCAGCAGGGCCAGGGGGCTGTGGGTCAGGAGTGAGTAGCACCAGCACTCAGGAAGTTGTGGCTTGGGAACGAGGGGCAATGGCACGGGCAAGGCACCGACATACTAGGGCTGCTCAGTGCCACAAAGCAGTGGGGGGCAGGGGCAGCTGCACTAGCATCCTGGTGAGCGAAGGAGGCAGGGGGAGCTCTGATTTTCCATGATAAAAAATCCAAAATCAAATACCAAAGTTTATAAGTATTTACAATTTATTATAGTGATTGAGGCACTGGTAGGCTTCCAAATGGTTCCTATCCTGTGTACAGGACCTCCATCTGACGCAGGAGGTACATGGTCCCACTACGGGGAATGCCTTACTGGACCTGGTATTGGCAATGGGGGATGACATGGTAGGAGACCTACAGATCGGTGGTCACCTGGGGGACAGCGATCACCAAATAATAGAATTCATCATAAGACGTCGAGTGGGTAAGGTAACTAGTAGGGTGAAAGTGCTAGACTTTAGGAAAGCTGACTTCAATGAACGCAGGCGTTTAGACATGGACGCACTGTAGAGTAAGAGTTTTAAAGAGTTGGGAGCCCAAGAAGGGTGGCTGTGCCTTAAGGAAATGATCCTTTGGGCACAGAGGGAGACGATCCCGATGCAGGGAAAAAGGGGGAAAGGGGCCAAGAGGCTTCCTTGGCTGACCAGAGAAATCCAGAGCAGTCTACGGGCTAAAAGGGGGGCATATAAAAAGTGGAAACGGGGAGAGATTACTAAACAGGAGTATACCTCCTCTGCTCGCGCTTGTAGGGAGGCAGTTAGACAGGCCAAAGCTACCATGGAGCTGAGGATGGCATCCCAAGTTAAGGATAACAAGAAATTGTTCTTTAGATATATAGGGAGTAAAAGGAAGGCCCAGGGAGGAATAGGACCCCTACTAGATGGGTATAAGCAATTGGTGACGGACAGGAGGGACAAGGCTGAACTCCTCAATGAGTTCTTTGCCTCAGTGTTCCTAAGTGAGGGGCAAGACAAGGCTGTCACTGGGATTGTAGAGAGGCAGCAGCAAGACGCCAGACTACCAAGTGTAGACCCTGAGATGGTGCAGAGGCACTTGGAGGAACTGGATGCGTTTAAGTCGGCAGGCCCGGATGAGATCCATCCGAGGGTACTGAAGGCACTGGCTGACGTCACTGAGCAGCCACCGGCGGGAATATCTGAACACTCGTGGCGCACGGGCCAGGTCCCGGAGGACTGGAAAAGGGCCAGTGTGGTCCCCATTTTCAAGAAGGGGAGGATGGAGGACCCCAGGCAACTATAGGTCAGTCAGTCTCACCTCCATCCTAGGCAAAGTCTTTGAAAAAATTATCAAGGCTCACATATGCGAGAGCCCGGCAGGAAAAATTATGCTGAGGGGAAACCAGCACAGGTTCGTAGCAGGTAGATCATGCCTGACTAATCTAGTCTCTTT